CATATCGAGTGATGATTTTGGTGAGCATTGATTTCCTTAAATGTTCCGCAACTACCATTAGTATCAAATGAGCACTTATGCTCACATTGATTCTAGAAGTTCTGAAATGTAAGTTAGAGAAAAGGCTCGTGAAGTGTATTGAGATAAGATTCAGATGGTATTTTGTCCGATATGTATTGATATTTTACTGCTTTTGGTCAGTAAGTTGGTTGGTATCAGAACTTTGTGTATCCGCAGGTCGGGTACGGGGGGATCTTTTTATTAGTCTCCGAATAAATCCGTTGAATGAAATTGATGGTTTCTGATTGAGTGCGATCGGTTCCGATAGTTGGAAATACTCGATTTTCGTCGTATGATATCGGGGGAAATATGGTATGATACGATGTTCACTGTTGTTTGCTGGTCAGGGGAACTCGGTGTTTTGTAGCGGATGTGATCGGATACAGTTGTCTGAACATATCGGTTCCGATAACATAGATTCTGACGGTTCGTGGTGAATTCGTTTGTCGGTTTATATCGGTGTTTTGTGAAAGTTGTCGGAATGTGGCGGATGGTTTCCGATAGGATCCGATCATCGGGTTTTGCCGGGTTGGAAACCCTCCCGGAAGGTTCCGATCCTGTGTCTTTCTCTTGGGGATGCGTTTATCAGATCTGATTATTACATACATATATATATCGAATCCAGTGAATTATTGACAAAGACTTGTTTTTTGTAATTGCTGAAGTTTCTCATACATAACTTGTCGTTCATCATCTGTTGCTTGTCGGATTTCATTATCTTGTACTTCTATCTCCGGTGTCATACTAAGTGCAAATATATCTGATGCTGGAAAATAGTTTTTCTTGATCAAAAATGTTAAAACTCGACTACTGGAACCAACAAGCGATGATATCGAATGGAATTGGCTTGTATCAACATGTAGTATATTGCCTGGAAAGTGATGTCTGGTTTTTATATGACAAAGAGTACCAGGTATTGTTTTACATAGATCAAATGTAGCGTTTGATTTACGTTGAAATTGATATGTCATTGTACCACCACCATCATCATCAACTATTTCCCATAGCTTTTCTATATATTCTCCTTCTAAACAATAACTATCAAATGAATGTCGATGATTATGAATAATTGTTTCGGCGCAATCAAAAAACCAATTGATTTGATATTCAATACTTTGATCGAATTCATCATGACCACAACGAACTTGATACATGACACCTGGTACGGTACGAACATCAGTGACTTGCCAATTGGCAAGTACATCTGATAATCGTTTGAAGTATTGTTGTTTTATCTACATAAAAAGAAAATGCATTGACTACATATCATGGAATATTTAACATAGAATAGACGTGGAAGATTTCGATATTAAGAAAAACTTTTGTAAGGAACTATTTTAGAATTAAAAATTAGTATGATACACATACATCCACACCCTCAAGATGCGTAATCGTTTCTTTTCATTAAAATCTTGTTTTATAATATATTTACATACCTGATTGGCATCCAATATTTCATATTGGAATGAATAAATCTAAAGATTCATTAATAAGAAGCAAGAAATATTTTTATGCCCATGCAAATGGGACAACCTCCATTTCACCCGCATTTGGAGGAGTTCGCGGGCTATGAAATTTTAAAAATAAAACTGTAATCTTACTCGATCGACATCGTCATCATTCTGAGATTCTTGTGAAAAATCATCATGGGCTGATAGCAGTTGTTCAATTATCTCCATCGTTGGTATTGTTTTGAAATAAAATGTATTAAGTAAAGGTATGATTTCAACGCGACTATTTATACAGCATATAACTAATAGACACTTCTTACTCATTCTGATGCAATGAAAATGAGTAACTTGGAAGCAAATATTGTCGACGTGTCAATCAATACACATGAATCATTCGCATAGTTTATGATATAGAAATTTCGAAATTACCTTTTTCGATTGCATCTTGACATAATGATTATTAGATTTTCCTCGAATGCATTGATGAAGCAGTCTCAATTTATAGAAAAACTGGTAAAAAGAGGGTGTGGATGAAATAGAATATTCACACCCATACTTAATAAAACTAAAACGAAAATTGAAATTATAAAATGTCTGTAGAAGATCAGTGTAATTGCAAAACGAAAATGGATTAGTAGTTAAATTAATTCAAATTATTCACGAATAACTTTCCAATAATTGAGCTTTGTCGTCGGCTCTAATGTGGTAAAAGATGGTTAAATTGTTGTTAACCTTTCAATAGACTTTAGAAATATTCAGATCAATCTGATTTATTTTTATTTTGTTGACGGATGTAAATGTACTAATAAATCTATTCTTTATGAATACTCTCCCTAGGGACTGAATAAAAATATGCAATTCATATCAATCTAAATTTACACAAAATGAATAACATGTCTCTGGAGTATGAATTGTTTTGATTCATCATCATGTAGATTATTTTAACTTAATGAACTGTTTTTACACTTCGTATTACGAAATATTTATTTGAAAAAGACAAGTTATGATTCAGTATTCGTACATTTCTTTTCTTTCTTCATCGAAATTTTTATTAAGAACAGAAAGAAAACAGATGTATCAAGTTATTATATAAATTGATCTCGCATTACATAAATGATGACGAAATGAAAAAATGCCATGCGGAGATTATTTTCAAGAGGAAGACAATATCATATTTATATATTTTTTTCTTTATTTCCTGTTTAGTGTGAGTTTATTCAATGTTTTGTTCGATGGTTTATTTTCAGAGGTATTGACGAAAAGAGTATTATCACAAGAGTTTCATTCTTTCATTTCTTGTCTGTAAGATACTACGAGTATTTTTGTTTATCATGAGTCAATCAACAACAACGAAGTCAAGCAAGTATCACGGATTATATGACCAAGAACTGAAAAGAAGAACTCTACGAAAGTTTAATTATTATATTGGTAAACTAGACAAAATACTGAAATTCAATGATGAGAATAAAGTGTTATATATATATATATAAAAGATACATTAATCTGAGAATTATCAATATTTATTTAAAGCTTTCGAATTCCTCTTTCTGTTCTAAGTCAATCTCAACAAGATTAAATAAATTTTAAAAAGCGTTTATGACAGTGCGTGTGAATGAAAACTCACTAGCAAATATACCCACATCTGCACTCTCAAGTTACATTAAAACATTCTTTTACTGAATAAATATCACAAAAATCATTTGAATTCTTATTTGAAATTAAAACGATATCAATTTTCAATTTTAGTCTAACTTTCTTAAATATTGTATCAGTTTCATGAATAAGATGTTGACACAATTAGTAATTGTTGTCACAACAAAAGTCTTTTTTTCTATTTCCGGGCAATGTTTTTATTATTACTGAGTTATTATAAGTTTATATTTATAAAAATAGAGAAGCATAGATATTCACTTCATTTATAAATTTATCTTCAAAGATATGGCAATAGCAAGCAACAAAACACAGTGTTTTACATGTAATATATACAAAATTACATATCTTTGCAAAGGATGTTTAAAAGAATTTTGTCTACCACATTTAAACGAACATCAACAAATATTTAATGATGAATTAAATCATATTACCAATGAATATAATGCATTTAAACAAACAATTAATGAACAAAAACAAAATCCACAAACATTTATTAATGATATTGAAAAGAAGCTTAATGATTTATCTGAACAAATAAAACAAATTCATAAAGAAAATGATTTCAATGAAATTAATTTAAATTATTTAAGAAATCGATTAAGAGAAATCACACGAGAATTAAATAATCCGACACATATTTCTATTCAACAAAATTCACAATCGTTTATTAATGAAATTTCTGAAAGTAAGTTTTTTAAAAATAGTTTGTAAAAGACAAATTTTGATTTTCCATAAAATCAACAAAATCTTTTATCATTTTCAATTTTTGTTTTCTTTTCAAACTAAATTTTTGTCAATTTGCTTGGCAAATAAATTATCTTTCAAAATTCAACAAAAAAAATAAAAGAAAATATGTTTTTTCATTCAACATTTTATTCAAAATTGATCTTCTCTTTTTTTTCTTCTTCTTTTCGTGAAAATCTTTTGTTTTCATCGTTTTCTAGAACCAAATGTCATCACTGTAACTGGCGGAAATGGACAAGGACAACAATTAAATCAACTTAATTTCCCTTATGGAATCTTTGTTGATAAAAATAAAAATATTTTCATTGCTGATTATGCAAATCATCGTATTATTGAATGGAAATATAATACAAATGAAGGACAAATCATTGCAGGTGGAAATGACAAAGGAAATCGCATAGATCAGTTGAATGAGCCAAAAGTTGTGATTATTGATCAACAAAAACATTCGATTATCATTGCGGATTCTGAAAATAGACGAGTGATTCAATGGTTAAATCAAAAGCAACAAATTCTCATTAATAATATTGACTGTGTGGGCTTAGCAATAGATAAACATGGATATCTTTACGTTTCTGATAATGAAAAGAATGAAGTGAGACGATGGAAAATGGGAGAATATAACAATGAAGGAATGGTAGTGGCTGGTGGAAATGACAAAGGAAATAAACTCAATCAATTCAGTCATCCTCGTTTTATCTTTGTTGATGAAGATGAATCTGTTTATGTATCAGACCAAAACAATCACCGTGTGATGAATGGAGAAAAGATGCAAAAGAAGGAAGAATTGTTGCTGGAGGACATGGTGAAGGAAGAAGTCTCAATAAATTGTCTTATCCTCAAGGAGTAGTTGTTGATGCTTTTGGTCAAATCTATGTGGCAGATTGTGGAAATCATCGAATAATGCGCTGGTTTGAAGGAAAAGATGAAGGTGAAATCATTGTTGGTGGAGATGGCCAAGGAAATCAATCAAATCTATTGAATCGTCCCCGTGGTTTATCTTTTGATGATGAAGGTAATCTTTATGTTGCTGATTGTCATAATCATCGAATTCAAAAATTTGAGATAATTTTATGAATGAAATTTTTTGTTAAATAAAACATTAATAAATAAAAACAAAAGAAGTCAAGTTTTATTGTTAAAAACTAATGAAAAAATCAAGAAAAATATTCTTAGTTTTTTCCTTGAAAATTTAATTTAACGTCAAAATGATTCAATGTTTTCCTATGTATCACAAATATATATTTTTAAATTGGTAGAAATTTATTTTCTTTATGAAAATATTTGAGAACCCATTTGTGATTCCCACTTTGATTATAGGCGAACTGATTTGCCGTCATTTTTATCTTTATAACTACTACCTATCGCTAGATAGACTATGTGGGTGAGTGTGGATATGGATATAGGCTTAATACAATAAGTGCATCCACACTCACCCTCAAGATAGTTTCTTATTTTCATTTATTTTTTTTATGAAAACGAACGTCAATGCAGAAGTATATGATTCTATTACCATGCGTCTACCTACTCACTATGAGAAGAAGACGACGACGACGACGACGCAAAAGATACAGTCCAAAGGGCGATCGATAGCGTGACAGAAAAAACATACAGGTAATGACTGTGACGAACGCATCTTCTTCGTGCGTCATATTTCTCTTGTACACGTAAACAAACATTAATTAAAAACAATGTAAAAATAAATGACATGATATGCCGTCCATCAAGCAAAATACGACCTTGCGCATTCAATCAGCAACGATATTCTAATTGTAAGTAATGATTGATTTTGAACTCATGTGAGAACTAGTGACATGTAGTAGCAATGAAAAAGATTGATATTAACGTGTTATTCTCAGTGATTATTTTCCAGTGTGATATTTCATGGGCAGTTTTATATCTTAGTCTGTTCTAAACATGTTCGAGAAAAGCTCTGACTTCTTCGGTTATAGTTACCTAACCGATTGTATCACTCTCTATGCGTACGACATTATATTACCTACATACTAACTACTACTATATTTATAGGATCATCATGGACAAAAATCTACCAGCGAAAGCTCTTTCCTACAGCAACGACGGAGATATGTATTTTAACAATGGCGAGTACGCAAAAGCACTTTCATCCTTCGAACAAGCACTTGACATCTACAAAACAAATCTCCCTCCGAATCATCCCTACATAGCTACTTCCTACAACAACATAGGATTAGTGAATGATAACATGGGCGAGCACGCAAAAGCACTTTTATCCTTCGAACGTGCACTTGAAATCTACAAAATAGCTCTTCCACCGAATCATCCTGAATTGGCTACTGCCTACAACAACATTGGTGGAGCGTATAGAAACATGGGCGAGATCGCAAAAGCACTTTCATATTACGAACAAGCACTCGAAATTGGCAAAATAGCTCTCTCTCCGAATCATCCTGATATGGCTACTTCCTACAACAACATTGCTGCGGTGTATTATAACATGGACGATTCTTCCAAAGCACTTTCATCCTACAAACGAGCAGTTGAAATCTATAAAGTAGCTCTCCCTCCGAATCATCCTGACTTGGCTAGTGCCTACAACAATATTGGCTTCGTCTATTCTAACATGGGCAAATATTCGAAAGCACTTCAATATTATGAACGATCACTTGAAATTCGGAAAGTAGCTCTCCCCCCGAATCATCCTAACATGGCTACTTCTTACAACAACATGGCTGCGCTGTATAAAAAGATGGGCGAGCACGCAAAAGCACTTTCATATTACGAAAAAGCTCGAGAAATCGAGTAAAAATCGCTTCTCAGATAGAAACATTGATGACATAAAATGACATAAGAAAGCATTTGCAATCATATTTCTCTTTCGTTATAATAAATTCACAAAACTGTAGTACTTTAGAAAAGATGGTTTGATTTTACAATGTTCGATAGTATGTCTGAAGAATAATAATAATCAATAGAGAGATTTTTAGTTTAGGTGTAGTGGACGAGGAGAATAATAATGTACTTGAATTGTATTTTAAGTTAGATCTTGGTCCACACATTGGAAAGTTGTTTGATGGTGGTGGTGTAATTAATCCTTTATATTTTCCATTTTGTCCGACAGAGAAGACAAGAGCCATACCTGGCGATATATGCCAATCCATATGACAATGAAAAAACCATGGACCTGGATTATTCGCTGTGAATCGAAAAAGAATATAGCTTTCTCGCGGAATACTAAATGAATCACCAACAGTGAGAACAGGTGGTGTAGAATTAAGTAGTGGTAGTATTGAATCAAGATCAAATTCATTGATTTGTCGTCGTTGAGTTTGTTTACATGTTAATGGTTGAACATGTGGTAATTTTCCAGCAGCAATAAAATCAACTGAATATCCATGAAGATGCCATGGATGTTGCTGAGGATCATTATTAATCATAAGTACTTCATATGTTTGACCGTATTCAAAATGATGTATGTGAGTAGCATGAATATTATTGACATGACCAGGATATTCATCTGCAATAACATGATCAAGTGTGTTATCAAGAAAATTTCCTTGAAGAAGAGGTTCTTTTGGTGGTTCGAAAGTGATGTTATTGACAGCCCATTCCTCTAAAGCATCGATTCCTAATCGATTATTCCAATGGCAGACGAAAGAGAGTGTTATTCGTCGAATAGCTGGCCGAGCAAAACGAGATACAAATGGTTTCAATGATTGATATTCAAAGAATGGATTATCCGAGTCAACACGCAATATTTCGGATATATTGATCGAATGAATATTTTTGGCTTTAGATTCTGGATAAGTAAGTAATGCTGTTGCCCACATTGTTGGCGTTGGCCCAGTTATGATATGTGGAGGCTGAAAACTACTTCGACTAGCAATGAGTATTGTATATTTTGATGGATTTTGATTGCATGTGACAATCACATCAAGTCGTTGTCCAATAGGTATATGAAGATGAGAAACAGTAATTGGTGAAATCTCAATACTGTCTCGTGCAACAATTGTAAGACTGTGTTGATCGATTTCAAAACGAAAAGGAATACCACTGGCAGCATTAATTAGTCGTAAACGAATTTGTTTCCCAGATGGACATATAAATTCATCGATAGGATGTGCATTTTGTTTGCATGGACCAAGAAATGGTGTTCGTAGAGGAACGCATTGAACAGGATATTCTGTTCCACATTCATCTCTCCATGTAGCATTTTCATTACAATCGGATGTACGACAATTGAATTGTCCATGTCCATTAATCAGAAAGGAAGTTGGAGGCCATGGATAGATTGGAATACTACCTGGATAGGCACCATGAGGACCTTGATATGCTGTCATCAAGTCGGACCAAGTTTCATGATACCATTCTTGAAGCATAATAACATAATCATTTGATCCATAATTGTATCGCTGTTCAATAGGATCATGATCGAATATAATTGGTCCTACAAGACCATCAGCATATTGTTGTGCATTATGTGAATGATACCAAAACGTTCCTGTTTGTGTCACTTCAAATTCGTATATGAACGTTTGATGTGGTGCAATAGGGCATTGGGTTATATGTTCCGTCCCATCGGCCCATGGGTTTTTAAACATATGAAGGCCATGAAAATGAATTGATGTTGCTTGATCACGCATCATATTAGTGATTTGAATACGAAGTGTATCACCCAATTTCGCCCGAATAAGTGGACCAGGAAATGGTCGATTGACATCCCATGATGAATTTGCATTATGCATTATAATTACAGGTCGAGGATAACCATCTGGATTTGATGGTATAGTACGAACAATGAAATCATATTCAACAAGAGCCGTTTCAATTACAAGACTATTGAAGAAAAAAAATGAAGCAAAAATCAAATAGATGAACATAGTATTCTGTTGTATCTTAGTATTCTAGTATATGTAGTATTGTGTTTGATGTCTTTTTTGTATATATAATCAATGCTTTGTCATCAGTCAAGTATCTGACGATGCATTCGTAAGCAAAAAAAAATGATGATAATAATTCATCATTTTCGTAAGTAAATAATCATCAATCTGTCTTTTAAAACCTTCTTGAAAAAAAACATTATTTGAGTCAAAAAGAAAACATATACGTCATCTCTTTCGCGGAGAATTAAGTTGGAAAAAAATAAGAGGGAAGTAGTTTTTATGATAACACTTTAATTACATCAATTAGCATAACTTTAATCTTGTTGAAAGTAACTGAAGTAAAACCTTGCACGCAGGCAAAGGATGGCTTTTTCTCTTTTCTTTATATGCATTTTGATCTTTTTTGGTGCTTACGTACTATTATCTTTTGATATTCGTACTTGCTTTCGGTACTTGACTGTGACGCTATCACTTGCATGCGCTGCATGCATGTTATTTGTGTGACTCTCTCGCTTACATGCGCTGCACGCATGCTATTTGTTCTTTCGATTCTTTTCATTCTATTTGATGAACGAGTAGATAAGCGTGTGTTTTGTATCAGGACGATGCGATTCTTGAGAGGAAGAAATAAATAAAGGGTGTGGGTGTGGGTATTCTGTTTTATTCAAACCCGCACTCGCATCCACACCCACACTCTCTATTTTGCACGTATATGCAAAGGTAACATGAATATTAGTATATACTGTTTGAATTATTTTTGGCGTGAACAGGATAGAGAACTGCATTTTTAATTATTGGCATAATGAGATGAAAACGCATCAAATCGTTTTTGTAGAATTTTGTTTTATTTTTTTTAAGAATAAGTTAAATTGTCATTATGATTATAATTGATCCTCCTTTTATGTTTTGCCTTCTCTTTACAAAGATAAAGTTTATTAATAATTAGAAAATTTCAAAATCACTTCAGAAATTAATATTAAGAAATTTTTTTTATAGATGATTGGATACGATTTTAACTCTCTATTCTATATACCATTCGTGTCATTGTTCAATTTCAAATTATAGCTAAAAATATATGTTTTACCATTCGGTATATCCCAATAAAAGTTTCATATATAAACTATAGAAATTCTTGAAAATAAAGGAACTGTTTTTATATCTAATTATTTTTCATATTGACGCGTGTCTCAACAGAAAGATTGAGACACTATTATAGTGAGTGTAATAACAAAAACAAGAAAATATAAAAAGTCAATTTAGTGATTTTTTTCACTGCACTCATTCTTGTTTTTTAACAAAACCGGGAATCCAATAGTTTATGCGTACAAGACTTTCAAGCACTAAACACATTTTGTGATAGCCTGACTAATTTCTTATTAAAGATGTATATTAGTACAACTGTTACACCTTTAGAATTATTTGAATTGCAAATTCAATTTCACCGATTTATTCCAACTCCAACTGTTTTTTCCACTCGGACGCGTGACACCATCATCAATTAGAAGTCTTGATGGCACGTCATTGTAGATGAATGAGAAGAATACTCATATCCACACCCCAATAGATGGTATTATAAAGACATCTTTTGAAAAATTTAATAAAATATAAATGAATCAATTAATACTGACAGTTACACGACAACATCGATACAGAAAATAAAACATTACACGAATAAAGAAAAAGTCAAAAAACAAGTCTCAGAAGAAAATACAAAGAAAAAAGAAGTCGATATATGCCTATTAAAACTCATCAGATCATTTGTTTTAGTCGAATATTCAAAAATAAGCGACAGAAGGAAAACTACACAACACAAATCAATTTTTTAATTGATTGAGTTGACCAGCCATTATTTGCCTATCTAGCCTTACTATTTCAACAGGTTCAGCCTGTACAATCGGATGTATATGTTGACCAAAATTGAAATGTAATATTCGTAAAATTTTTTCTCGAAATAATTTACTTGAACAAACATTAACATAGAAATTGATTGAATAATTAATTGATTGAATAAAATAGAGTATTGAAATATATGTATGTAATTGTTCAAGTGTTACAAAAGTCAAAAATCGTGGTCCAATTGTATTCGATAAGCCTAATGGAATCATTGTTAGAAGAAATAGAAGACTACTTGAGATCATCAATCTTAATAGTTGAACTTCCAAAAATTTTCGATGAACGCTGATAATAAGAGCAGTTGGGCGTTGATGATTTTTATAGATTAACAATGAGAATAAAAAGATGCAAAAAGCAGGCAAGAAGATTTGGAAAATTGATAGAATTATAGGCCATTGATAAGCATAGAAATAAGTATATTGAGCATTTCGAAAGTCTGCATAACAATAGACAAATTGACCTTGATTCGCTCCAAATCCTGCTGTTAGATAATGAGCATTGAGAACGAGGAAAGTTAGAAGAATTATTGTAGCAACATATATTGCATGACGTCGTGTACATAGAGTTTTGGCTTTGAAAGGAAATATAATTCGTATTGAACGATCAGCTGATATTGCGACTAGAAGCCACGACGATAGACACATGGAAGTTGTTTGAAAATACGAACGAAAACGGCAGAGAGCACTAATACGACTTCTATCAGCATTTGGATCTTTGGTATTGAAACCATAATAGATAAACTCGTATATACATGTTAAAAGATAACCGATATCAGAAATTGCAAGAAATACGAAGAGAAGAGAAGTAGAAGCTTTTCTTAAATTTGTTCCACTAAATATAAATATGCTACTAATGTTTCCCACGAAACCAAAGATAAATAAGAAAAGAAAACCATAAAAGGAAAGATTTTGTGTAATAGTTGAAATTGTGTTAAATGATGGTAATTGAAATATGATTGTAGTGTTGTCGATCGACATTCTTCTTTCTTTTGTAAAAATTTAATTTTATAGAAAATTTGTTCGATGAAAAGAAATTGACATAGTTAAAACAATATTTCACATTGTATACCCACATATTTTCTAAAGAGAATCAACTGAGAATGACAGACTACAACACTTCAAAAATAAATGAAACGGCTTTACTGAATGTGCAATATATTTCGATTTAAATGCTTTTAGTCTTTCAAACGTATTCTTTATTTGATATTCTCCTTGATCTGAAGTATTCCTAACTCTCTTGACAAATTCGAATTTTATGTAGAAATTAAACTATTTGAGAGCATTTAAAAACGGTAAACAAGCATAAGTATGAGAAATAAAAACTAATTAGTACATAAGAAATTAGTTTGACCTTTAGTTTTCTTAATTATCAGTGGTGACGGGAAAAAAATCTTCCAAAATTTCTCTCATCAATATATAGACAAACTTGTTGACCCTATTCTCAGTAGTCATAAATAGGAGTGTTACTTTATTTTTATTTTTCTTTATAAGAAAGAATAAAGAAAATATTTTCAAGTGATCGATAAATAATTGAGATAAAAACAGATAATATTAATCGCAGTATTTTCCTATCATTAGTCATATTCTAATATGGAATAATGCTAGCAAATGAATGTGAGGCATAAAAGATTTATCGAAAAGACTTCTCCTCGGAATCTTTTTTTAACCTGTATCCTTGTAATATTTGGTGATCTACCTGGGATAGATAAAATTTTAGATTTTTACGAAAAAAAAATTCTTTATTCTTTATTTTATCCTTATTTTATAAAAATAAAGATTATCTTTATTCTAGAAAGAATAAAGACAAAATGACATCTCTAATCATAAAAGTATTTGATGAGCCAATCAAATTGCAGGTATAATATTTATGATGGAATCTGTAAAAATTTAATAAACAGATTGACATAAATTAAACTGCGCAGATAGTAAATGCTCTTCATTATTACATCTAAGATATTTTTTTATAGAATAAAAAAGTATAGAGGCAATGCTTCAAGACTTAATTAACTTTCTAAAATGATATAACTTTATGAACAAACTTCATTAGAGAAGAATGCCCTATTCTTAGAACTGAAATGAGTGCTTCAAGAAATAATGAAAGAATTTTTTATAAAAAGGTCAAAAAAGTCAGAAAATATCAAAAAAGTTAAATAAGGAACTTTTTTAATAAAAAGTTCAAAAAGGATAAAAAATTTAATTAAAAAATTATGCATTAAAAATTCAAAAAGGTCAAAAATATATATAAGAAATTTGAATAAAAACTTTTTTCATAAAAAAATTTAAATAAAGAATTTTTCATTAAAAAGTTTATTTTATAAAAACTTCGAAAAAACATATTGAGTTTTTTGTGGATCACAATGTTTAGAACATGAGAAACTGACGGCGGATAAGTAGTTTTCACCATCAGGAAGCGGTTAATGAAAATGTCGAGTTTGGAAATATCCCTCACTCTAAAAGAAAAAGGAACACTACTGGACCCTTCAAAAAAAGCTTCATAGATTTTTAAAAGGTTCAAATGCGTTCAAAAGTCTAAAAAAAGGGTGTGGGTATTGATGTTGAATGAACCTAATGTCAACCCACACCCACACCCTATTGAAAGCTGAGAAACAGGATCTACCATGATTCTTTACGTGTTGTTTTTATTTAAAAAAAATAAGTGAGATGTTTAAAAAATCCTTAAAATTACCTCTGACATAATCTAATAGGCATTTTTCTGAGCAAGTTGAGAACTCTTGAAAAAACAAAGCTTTTGCCAAAAATCCCTAGGAAATTTTTTTTCTTCGAACATATGTCTGATCATTTAAGATTCTCTATTTGTGGTGAGAATTTCAGCTCGATCGGCCGAACCGTCATCGAGCTCAAAAAATCGGAAAAATAAGTGGGAAGGGTACGCTTAACTTCATCACGAACAAAATTATAAGCAGTGTAGAGAGCCTTATTTTTTTCGCATTCTGTTAGCAACGATTGTTGCTTTTACAACGTCGACAGCAAAATGTTTTAATAGCTGTTTCTATCCACGTGTCAACATAAAATATCTTTTCTTTTACTGCTTTTTTTCTAACATTACGAAGTTATTCTGGTATCTTAACTACCGTGAGAACGAAGATAAAGCAGGCAGACTGTGACGCACGTCAGTGTTGCTTATAAGGTTTATCTGGTGTTTTTAAGTAAAGTATGTATGTTGATGAAATTGAAAATTCGTTAGCGTTGTAAACTGTAAGTTATTTAAATGTGTAGGGTTTTGCTTGTGTTCATTGTTTAGCGTTTTTAATGTCAAAAGATTGTCCTTCTGAGATCACATAGATTGTGTAACAAAAAACTCAGAAGTTTGAAAATTAAGTTTGTTTCGTACTAATATTACATTACAAAACGTTTGAGTTTCTGAAACTTAACTTTTTATTCAAATCGAACTCTAATAGAAGTACTTTATCAATGATATTCAAATCAAATTCTGAGTATGTAACGAGATGTTCGGTCTAACCACCCAGGAGATTCAATCCGATCGAATACGCCATATGAAATCAATCGGAAGTCATCAGCCTTAGGATAGATCAGATCGGATTTTGTCGGATTCCATATATTAATAAAAAACTAAATCCCTTAACAAATCTCTTTCCACTCGTATATGCCCGTATTACTAAAAAATTCTTCAAAGATCTCTCTCACAAAGATGTGAGTATAGATAATGAGAACACACACCTACCCACTCTCAAGATGGGCCTTCCTGTTAAATTAGAGAATATGCATTTCAGATTATTTTTCCTATTTACATTCATAACACATACAAGTTGAATAGCTGATCTTAATAAATGGCTTCAAAAATCCATACAAATAAAACAGATATAGTGCTTTCCAACAATCAGTCGACCAACTATAGCCATGAACAGATTGAACTAAATCATCAACGCAATGAACAAAACCAACAACAGAACCGATCGAAACGATCTCGAAAAAAGCCAATTAAAATACCATTTACCGAGGCTGTGGGAGCTCAACAACAAACTACACCAACAGTTGGACAACATAGTCAAAACAATCGAACTGTACAAAAATTATCAAGTAAACACTTATCTTTTAAACTTATTCTCAGTGATTTAATATTTGTTTTTTTCTAAGCATCGCAGACTAAAGACAAATCACTGGACAAAGTAATTCATTCTTTTGTCATCATCATGTTACTAAAAATATTCTGTTCATTAGGTGCAAACAGATCAAACAACGATTATCATCGAAGAACCAATTTGTAAGCATTTGGAATTATTAAATTTTTGCTTTAATCAAACTTTGGTCAAGCATTATTTAACCAAAGACGGTGCTCAACAACGATTGATCGTATATAATAAATTATATAATATTATCGTCGCCAAACGACCAGGTAATGAACAAAAATATTTGCTCAATTCTGTGTTGATTCTGTATCATTCTCTCAAATAGATGCTCAAGTTACTTTATATGGTGCTTTTCTATTTAAATGCGCCTTAGACAAGTTAAGCAAAATAGATATCGATGTGCAGTTCAAGGAATCATCGGAATATGGTACACAGAACATACTGCTCAATATTATTCGTGACTCTGGTATGAGACCGTTTTTCGAGCTCTTGTTCACGAAACAATAAAAGAATCGTGAACTTAACTTCTATATGTATAGTCTCTGTTATTGTTGTTAGGACTTTGCTATGAGCCTCGTATCGATATTGATCATGATCTGCCGTATATTGATTTACTTGTATGTGATTCGAACATAAATGTGCGATTAACATCTGGCTACAACAAAGCAATTTACCTGTCGAAATTGATTCAAATTTATACAAAATTTGATCAACGTGTTCTTCAATTATTTCGACTTTTACGTATTCTCGCAAAGGTCTCTCTTCTTATAATTAGAAAATAATCATAGAATATGTATCTTTCGTCACAGGTAAGCAACATTGACAGACCAGATTTGGGCACTCTTCATCCGGTAGTTTTTCATCTAATGATTATTCACTTTTTACAACAACTTGAAGAACCGATTTTACCATGTCTTCATGAATATGTAAGATTGTTTTATTGTTTTCATAAATGTAATAGATTTCTTCATTTTCGAAATAAGGTGTTTGGTGTTAAACCTCTACCAATACAACTAAAAGACAATCAATATAATGATTTCTTTCGTTTATGCAACGCATATACTCGTACATGGAAATCAAAAAATACAATTAACATGGAAATGCTTTTTTTTCAACTCTTATCGTATTATGTTGAAAAATTTGATACAGAAAAATTCATTATATCTATACAAACTCGAATGCCAGTTTTAAGAATCGGTAAAAGACAACGTAAAAATAAATTCATTTGCCAAGGTAATTTAATTACTTTTTGATTTTACTGATAACTGTCTTTCGATATGCAGATCCGATATGTATTACTGAAAATTTATGTTCAACAATGCAAGCGATTTGTTCATATGATTATTTTCGGCAAGTACTCAAAAGAGCTCTTGAATATTTTTGTAGCACACACAAGAGAAATTCAGATAATGAGGATACAAACAGAACTATCAATGCGGTGCACAATTCATACCAATTGTGTATTCAAGACATATTTTCAGGCGTTATATTTGATTTGAAAATGACTCAGACGGATATACGAAATTTGTATTTACAAACATTTGATAAGAAAAAAATTCCACAGTCGAAGCCAATACTTAAACCGAATAATACTAATTGTCAATTATGGCTAGATAAAAATGACAACAAAGACGAAATGGAAGATGTATTTCAGCCTTATTTCCAAGAGAATATGAAAATATTTGATAGCAATGAAATTGCACCGATACAAATAAGTAGTGATAGTAACAAAGAACAGAATAATAAGTTAGTGAATATCTAACATCAACGATACTATTGCAAATGATTGTTTACATCTTCTAGTAAATCATCACTGGTATCGGATAATGAAATGTCAAAGGATCTGAGACAAATAGAAAATTTTCATGATAATAAGCATGATATGGAAGCAATGAAGACATTGTTCGAAGCGCTCTGTGAAAATGCCAATAAGAAACAAAGACGAATATTGCACAGAGAATTTGAACGACAAGGTAATTAATATCAAAGTTATACTGTAATTCATTTGCTTTCGACAAGGGGGTGGGTGTGTGTAAGTGTAGGAGTAGGCGTTGTGTTCTTCCTCTTTGCGCATCCATGCCTTCTCCTATACTCATACTCTATGCGTTTCATTCTAGGTAGAACTGTTAACGATAAAGTGCAAGAATTGCTCAACAGTTTCAACTTGCAAACAGTAGTTCTACCAAATTTAATATCAGCAACTGATGAATCTCATTCTGAATCAACCATGAAAGCACTTCCTGTAGTTAATTCAAATACTGAACATTTATTATCCAGCCAGGATGAGACGATTCCGACAATTTCATTAGAAACTAATTCTACTGCGTTCTTCTACGATTTTCAAGCAGAAAATTTTGGTGCTGAACAGGTATGAAAACAGTATATATAGAAGGAATTGCATGTATATTGTTACTTTATATGTAGGGTGCTCCAGTAGCATGTGTTTCATGCTATGAAAATGGTCATATCAAGTCCAACTGTCCTAAAGAGTCAAAACCAAATGTGATAGAAATAAGCCAAGAATGGGAAAATATTCTTTCTAAACTTTGTCGATACATTACTGGTAGATATCTTTACTATAGTTTCAGGATTCTATTATAACTTTTTTATAGAACGTCATAAACCAACAAGAAAAGATATTGAAAATCGTAAAGATCTTGTGCGTCAACTTCAAATTCAATATCAAAAAATCTATCCCGGCTGTAAATTACAACCATATGGCTCATCTTGTAATGGTTTTGGTTTTCAACAAAGTGATCTTGATGTGTGTATACATATATGGAAAAATGTATGTTTTAATATTAGGAAAATCCAATAATTCTACCTATTTCATTTCTCTTCTAGACAAATGAAGATAAAGTCAATATTCTAGAGAAATTATCTCGATCAATGTGTTCTAATATCTTTGAATATGTGAATGTAATCAGTCACGCCAGAGTACCTATAATTCGATCGAAACATTTGCAATTAAATATTGAATTCGATATAAGCATTCACAATAGATTTGTCTGATTATTATCTTTCATTATAATATAATTCATACATCTTTTTTGTTAGGCTATTGAAAATACTAATCTACTAAAAACGTACGCGCAAATTGATTCGCGTGTAGTTGAACTTGGTTATATGATCAAATATTTAGTTAAAGTATAAAAAATAATTTCATTAATCATATATTATTATCTTGTACGGTAAGGTCATAGATGTTAGAAGTTGTCGCAGATTATCAAGTTATGCATATATTATAATGGTCATTCATTTTCTTCAACAAATTCAACCACCTGTCTTACCTGTTCTTCAACAAGTTTTTTTTTCTTTTGTATTTTTTTTTCATGAACATGTATATTCTAGTTGATCGACGATTCATCAACAGATAATTCGTCGGTTCGAAAATGTGGTCAATATAGTCTATATTTCTTTAATGATTTAAATAGACTTGTACAAGATGATTTATATTTGATATATAATAATTTATTCTTATTTAGAAACAAATTTGGAACAAAAAAAACGAGCCGAATACAATGTCATCTGGTGCTCTATGGATTGCTTTTTTACGTTATTATACACAAGATTTTAATTATAAAAAACGTATTGTTACAATTCGGCAATATGAACCGTTATTACGTGTTGATAAAAAATGGTATAGTGACATAATTGCTATTGAAGATCCATTCGAATTGTATCGTAATCTAGCTGAATATATTCGAGTAAAGGGTAAGTATTTCTTAAATCTTTCTGTTTCTAATTTAAACTCTTATCCTTTACTTCATTACAGAATGGACAATTATTCGTAATGTATTTATACGTGTTCAAGATCATTTTTGTTTTCAACCAGCAAATATTAATATGATGGACTTGGATATGTCATCAATTCAGGTGATACTTTCTATCAATCATATAACTTATGATTTAAATAATAAAACTTGATTATTTTAGGAACATTTCTTTAATATCAATGAATTAAATCGAAAGAGTCCAACTGAATCACTTCAAACATGTAATGACACTATTAAAAACATCGATAAACAATCTGAAAAATTGAAGTCATCAGTTTACATTACTGTCGCTTCTGATATTACTCTTCCTGAACATCATTTACATTTGGTCGATTAGTGATGAATCAAATGGAAATATCCAAGAAGACAATAACCCAGAGCATAACTTGCTAAAACTTTAATATTTTGCTTTTAATACTCGTATACATATTTAAAGATTTTAAGAACAATGTTCAGAATAAAAATCGAACCCCGATATATGTGGGTGTGGGTGTTACGAGTGATGATTTTAGTTAGAAAATAGAGTCTAGGATATATAATATATATGTTTTATGGTATATCTAAAATCGTATCGTTACAATAGCTTTTCTATCTCCTGAATACTATTACATTATACTCAAACACAGATAGAGAGAGAAGCAGTAAAGCTAAATTTGTATTAGAATATCAAGAATGTTAGCCCATGTATGGAAAGAAGTAGAAATTAGCCGTTATACAGTTATATGAAGATAAAGATTAGAATAACGATATAGAAGAAAATACACAATGTGTTAACACATGATAAGCATAAACTAATAATATACTAATGTAGGAAGAAAGAAATAAGCGTAATACAACCACGTATATATGACAAAGATAAAAATTATTCATCTATAGATAGAAGAAATACGAATAAAAGAAAATTATAGACTCTATAACACTAGATTTTTACTTGTATTTGTACTCATAAATTCCTCATCAAAACAAATTCATGTATTTAATACGATAACATTATTTTGTTTTCTCTTCTATTTATATTTAGTTAGAAATCGTTTACATCAATTGAATTGAATATTTTTCAAACAATATCCCAACACTGATCGACAAATATGTTTTCAATGTTATGCAACACGACTTTTTATATTGTTGCTTATAGTCTCGACTGGAATTTTCACTATCAACTGAATCTCAATTTATTGAATTTAAACGAGAATAATCTCGTTGTTATCCGCTTAAATCTTTGTTTTTATCAACATTAGAATATGTATAATGATAATCACTAGATTAATAGTTATTAAATATTTATTTTTCTTCATATTTATGATGACTATTACGTGTATCTTCGATGAATTATCACTTGAATTTAAGCTTCTAATTTTATTTGGACTTCAATCTACTAATAAATTTTTGAGTTCTCTGGATTTATTTGCAATACTAAATAGAAAACATTACAGCACGTTTTCATGAAGTTTGTCCAAGTGAAAAAAGAATTACTGGTAAACAATCTTCTCCAAATGATTTTATTTATAGTCAACTCATATCACCAAATGTATTAAATGATCGAATATGAACTATCATTAATCAACTTCGATTAGCAATGCTACACAATAGCCTCATATTAATTCGAAAAATAGCTCATTCGACCAGTTGGATATTGACACTTGCACAAGATGAAATTTTTCATCCAAAGGTGTATCTTCATTTCGGGGTATGTTAACTGATTGAATCTATTTTACGATTAACATTTTAATGCATACGAAAATATATTTTATTTTCTAGTTTAGGTCCTTCAACTCATGTCGAAGTGGTAAAATATTTAAAAGAATCATAAATATACAATAATTTATTAATAAAACAAAATATTGTTATGATATTTTATTAAATATATGTCGTATTATTTTCAGATTTTATTTTGTTTACGACACAATGCGAGTAAATCATTTATTTGGATGGTTTTATATTTTGTTTATTGTTTCATGTAAATATAACATGATAAATTGGTGTTAAAATGATATTTTTTCTTTACTATTTCTATTTAGTTTTATGTTTAATATCTACTGATGGAAAAGGAGTGTTCGGTAGTGGAAGAGGTGGAGGATTTAAAAGTAGTTCTCGAGGTGGCGGATTATTCGGCAGTTCTCGAGGTGGCGGATTATTTGGCAGCTCAAGAGGTGCATCGAGTTATCATCGTCCAAATAATTATGGAAGTTATCATAGTATGAGTAAACCGTATGTATTGTAATGATTATTTATTTGTTTATTAACAATTTAGTTAATTTTTAGTCGTTCAGGAAGTCGTTTTAGAAGTAATGCTATGACTTTTGGTGCTGGAGCACTAGGTGGTGTAGCAGCCTATTCATTAATGAAATCGTTGTCGTCACATCGTCATTATCGTCCTGGATATTATGAACCTGGATATGGAAGTAAGTTTTACGCATATATAAATAAATAAATCATTCATTTCTTTTGCATTTTAATTTAGCTGGAGAAACCTGTGTAAATAATGATTATATGAATGGTATACGTTTCGGACAATTTCGTTGTCCACTTAATGGCTTTCCATATGAAGCAAAATTTTGCTGTGGTGATTATGGAAAACAATACTGTTGTAGCCATGCAGGCTATGATGGATAAATAAGGCAAAAATGACACATTATTGTCTATTATTTTTCAAATACTATATTTTCATGAATTATAATGCATGCTTCTTTTCTTATTTTTCATGAAGTTTATTGTACTATTTAAAAATAGTTTTCAAACGCTACATAATTCATTAGTTTTTTATGAATATTAATCAGAGTTGCCAGCCTATGCTGGTGCCTGCCAAGCCATCAGACCAGGGTGAAACTTCTCAGCCTGGATATAATATCCACCAAGGACAAAATTAAAGTAACTCGTATTTTTGATGGATAGAGTGGGTATGAGTGTGTATAGAGGAACAATGAAATAAATTAACAAGAACAAGATTTATTTATGATTGAATCAAGAAAGAAAAATATGGAGGAGAATTTTTAAACTTAGTTACACTTAAAAGAATATGTAATTGATTCTCTTTTGCTATAACAACGCTTATCAAGTACCGAAAGGAAGGGGAATATTTTAGGATCAAAGCTGTTCAATTAGAAAACATGGGCAATCTGACGTGAAATTTTCAGCAATCAAAGAGCTCACGGCTATTAATCACCTCTAATAGTTTTAGCTCGATCAGCTACACTTTTGCCGTACTTTGGTATTGAGTCAGAATGGTAATCACATCCTCGCCCATACTCACAACCACACCCACACCCACACCATCAAGATTTATTTCTAATTCAAATATGTTAAATCTATATTAATTTATTTTATTTTATACAAACTTTTTAATTAAAATCATTTTCGTTTTTTTTTCATTATCAAATTTATTTAACAAAAAAACTATCAACAAAATTTTTTCTTCAAACTAAATATTTGTCAATTTGTTTCAGAATAAATTGTCTCTCAAAGGTGTGAGTGTCGATTGGGCGCTGGTGGCTTCTTCATTCACACCCACAAATACCACATTTATCTTAGTAAAGAGAATAAATTTTATAGTTGATAAATACGAGCCTTTAAACTCCCCACTCTTAGTGTTATTGATAAATATTTCACTCTTTCAAAATATACTAATACTAGTTGAATCTTAACTTTTTCACATGATGATCGATGCATTTTTTAATTTCATTTTTATTGTATTCGTTATAGGATAGAATCAGAACGATTAGAAGAAATGAAATGGATATCAAATTTCCAATTATTGATATGTGAATAAATGCATCTGCTATATTTCAATTATATTGACTTAAGATATTATCGATGTTTCAGATATAAAAACATACATTTTTTCATTATATTCTTTTATTTTAAAATCAACTATGAATACAATCAAGATCCAATGTTATATTGTTTTCATTATTCTTAGGTAAATAATTATTAATTTTTATTATTCATTTTGTTAACATTCATTAATTTTATATTTTAGCACAACAGGTTTGATCTCTATTCTATTTTATATGTTTATATGTATTAGTTTATCATTTTCATAGTTCAAATCAAATCTCAAATATGTGAGAAAAAAACCCAGTATAGTGAATGTTCTACAAACAGTGCATGTGGATGCTTTCGTATGGTAGGTACTAATAATAATACAGGCATTTGTGGTTTTCGCTGGCTAGCATGTTCTCGTCTTGTACTGTGTAATTCTTTGGACAATTCATGTTCTCAACCTAATACGACCTGTGTTCAACATCCACAATGTAATGATCTTCCTGTATGTTACCCAGGTACAATGACTGATCAAAGTATCTGTCCACCAATGAAAAGTGAGTGAATCAATGAATGATAAATACAACGTTCTTATTCACATTTACAAGATATCTGAAACTATAAATTTAACCTGTTTTAGATAAGATCAATGCTAAATGGAAACAAAATGCCATCACTGTGGCTGGTGGAAATGGAGAAGGGCAACAATTAAATCAACTCAGTTACCCTTATGGAATCTTTATTGATGAAAACAAAAATATTTTCATTGCTGATTATAATAATCATCGTATTGTTGAATGGAAATATAATGCAAATGAAGGACAAATCATTGCAGGTGGAAATGGGCAAGGAAATCGAATGGATCAACTGAATAATCCTATGGATGTGATTGTTGATCAACAAAACCATTCCGTCATGATTGCTGATTACGAGAACAAACGAGTGATTCAATGGATCAATCAAACTCAACAAATTCTCATTCAGAATATTCACTGTCAGGGCTTGGCAATCGATAAACATGGGTTTCTTTATGTTTCTGATGGTGTGAGAAATGAAGTGAAACGATGGAAAATTGGAGAATACAACAAAGGAGTTGTAGTGGCAGGTGGAAATGGACAAGGAGATCAACTCAATCAATTCAATGATCCTCGTTTTATCTTTGTTGATGACGATCAATCGGTTTATGTATCAGATGTGAACAATCATCGTGTAATGAAATGGAGAAAAGATGCCAAAGAAGGAAGAACTGTGGCTGGAGGAAATGGTTATGGAGGAGATCTCAATCAATTGTATCTTCCTCATGGAGTAATTGTTGATGATTTGGGTCAAGTCTATGTGACAGATTTTGGGAACCATCGAGTAATGCGTTGGTATGAAGGAAACGAAGAAGGTGAAATTGTTGTTGGTGGAAATGATGGAGGAAATCAATCAAATCAATTGAATAATCCCATGGGTTTATCTTTTGATGATGAAGTAAATCTTTATGTTGCTGATCGAAATAATCATCGAATTCAAAAATTTGAAGTAATTCTTTGAATGAAATTTTTATTTTCAAGAAAAGAAAAGAAATTTTATTGAATAAATAATCGAGAAATGAAAGAAAAAATAAAGTTTTATTGTTGAAAATCAATGAAAAAAACGAATAAATTTTTGATAAAATAACAAAGAAAAATCTTTTTCGTTTTTCTTCATCAACCTTGAATTTAACTGGTAATTTTCGTTAAAAAAGTCGAATAAATAAATCTTAAATTCTTCATCTTTTGTAATTTAAGTTGCATTGCAATAAAACTCATATGAAAAGAAGTTTTTGTGTTTTAGAAAATTCTATTTGTATATTTTTATTTTTGATAAAAATAATCGAATTGTCTAAAGCTAAAAAGAAAAGAAATGTTTGATAAAAAGTTGATAACAAAAATTAAATAAAAATATGATTTGTCAAAATGGAATAAATGAAAAAAAAGTTTTATTTGAAACTTCGAAATGAGTCGATGAACATTTTCATTTAGATGAAAAGCAAAAACAAGAATTACAGAAGAAAAATAAACAAGAGATTGAAATAAAATAAAACATTGATACTAAATGTTATGCAATGATCCAAAATTTAAATTTGATTTTTGATATAAAAGAGATTTATTTTATTTTGCAAAGAAAATAAAATAAATATTTTATAACTTCTTTATCAAACTGAATTCATTTCAATTTCAAATGAAAAAATTCAACATTTTCTTTATTTTTGATTTTAAATAAAAAGTTTCTATGAAAAATTATTTAAATTCTATTTTCTTTTTCGTCAAATAAAACCCAAACTATTGATTACTTTCAAATCAATGAAATTTTTTTATGACAAAATATTCGTTTTTTCATTGATATTTGATGAAATAAAATCAATTTGAGGATATGAGTATTAGTTTTATTATTATTTGATCTATATTGACATTTCATCAGTAGCATTTCTCAAAAAAAAATGTTTGATTAGAATAATTAAAGAAATGATGGATTAAATAATTTAAAAAATTTTTATCATCAGATTCCAATTAGTTGAAGTTGATAAACATTTAATAAAAAGGGTGTGAGTGTGGATTTGAGTATCCCTTGTTGATCTAATAAGAACTCCCACATCCTCGGATAATTAAGAAAAAGAATAAATTTGTATAACATTCAATTTACTTTTAGATTTTCGAGAATTTTCTTGGATTGTTATTGGATAAAATTTTGTTTAGAAAACTAAGTCTTTATAATTATTTATTTGAATTTGATTAATTCTTTATCATAATAAAATATTTGAATTTTATCGATTGAATCCCTACCGAACGGTAGAAAATGCCGTTGTTTTTATGAAAGTATTCAACCTTTCACAATGTCAGTCACAGTATAATGTTTTCTTCTGCATTCTCTTGTACATGTCAATATAGAACAAAAGAAATGATTGATATACTATTTTTACTTACAACTATGTTATTATGATCACAATTATTCATCATGATGAACAATTTCAAAGGATAATAAAATGATCAATTCAGTTGATTATGTTAAATATGAATGTGACATTATTCTGTACAATTCTAATTTTTTTGTTTATATATTTGTTTCTCATAGATTTCATGAAGATTTATTCTAAAGATCAACAACTACACTTTTCTTATCATTTATCTAATGTGTAAAATAAGAATAAAATCAATTATACAACACATTTCTGACAGCGTAAGATATCTTTTAACTAAATACAAAATAATAAAAATATTTTGTTGTCAAAAAAACTTCTATTTTATTGTTGAGGAAGCGTTGTATTTCCTTCGTTAAGGCATGATTTGTGATGTATATTTAACAAGAATAACATTAAATTTTGTTTTCACATCCTTCCTACAAACATTTCAATATCATGAACATTTTTTCTATTTACAGCAAATAATGTCTAGCATTTCATATCAGTTTTGAAAAAGGAAATAGATTCATTGTTTTTATCTATTGATAAATTCAAATGCTGTATTTGCTGCAAATATTTCAAAAAAAAGCAAGTACTCATTAACATCATTACGTAGGCGAATACAGAAAAGAAAATAAACTTCTTGTTTTTCGAATGTTCAGTTTTCAGTAATATGTAGAAGAGTTTTTCTATCATCCAAGTTAATTATTGGAGAACGTAACTAAAAAGAAGCAATTTTTTTTATTCAATATTAATTATTAGAAGTCAAATGAAGTTCTCCTCATTTTATTTATTTCATAGTTTTGTAATTAAATTTAATAGAATCATCTACTATATGTTCAACATTACTTCGATTATTAAATAACAAGAAATGAATTCTCAAATGATATCTTTCACTTTATTTTTAATAATATTTGTTTGATTTAAAATAAAATTAATAATGAGTGAATGGTTTTGATACTCACTGTATATAACTGTTTTTATATGAAATATTTGTAAAAGAAAACATCATATGTCAATGAAAACAAAAGGATTATTTTCTTGTTCCAGATCAATTTTGAATAAAATATAATCTATTGTAAATGTCGAAATCTACGAAGTGGCATGTGAAACTAAACTAGTTAAAACAAGAGTGAATTTTTATAGAAAAAAAACCATTGCAAATCAGCACTTTTTGAAGGAACTGCGACGTTTCCTGAGAGAAAAAAAATGTATTTGAACAAAATATTTTATTATTTTTCATTGATGTGGATGTCTACAGAGTAAAGCTGTCCCTACGTTGTTAGATATGAAATTATTGTTGAAAAGATATTGCGTCGATAAAATAACTCAGAATTGATATAACTGCTGTTTCCTTTATGTTCACTTTCTCTACATAAAAAATTAAGAAACAAATCTAAAATTTTGATTTTCCAATGAGAAAAATGATTAGAAGAGCATAAATGGCTCTTCGTAGTATTGAGAGACAAATATAATATCCACAATCACTGCGACAGTCACATCTAAATGTAATTATTCAAAGAAGCTACGTATTTTATATGACTATGATTGTAATTAAAAGCATGATTAAAGTTTTCTCTATTGATTAGTCATATGTAATAGACGATAACTAAGTGAAGATTAAGTATTAATTATTTTTATTTTCTTGAATATTCTATTTCGACTTTCAATTAAATCATTTATCTATTCTGGAAATAATTATTGCATACGATAAAATCAAATTAAAGGCCATTTCTAACCATAAATATTGCCTAATTCTCAATTAATTTAGAAGAATCTTTGTGTATAGTAGATTATTTTTTTCTATGTAAGGAAATGTTGCATATCCTGTGAACAGCGCTGATTTTCAATGTTTTATTAACTAATAATTACACTAAATGTTGTCTCAAACAGTTTCATATTAATAAGAGATAACAACTCTCCCTGACAAGAGTTGTTTTTTTTGAAAACTAACATTGAAAACGGAAGTGAGCTGATTGTTTTTATTGATATATGATGTTTTACATTAACATGAAAATCTGCGTCACAAGAGAACTGATTATTTGAGAAAGAGAGAGCATGATAAATATTTTGTTCTATTATTTTAACAATTTTCTAGTTGAAATTAGAATGAAAAACTTCTAAGATTAGTCAGTAAGGAATATTAGATATTATTTGAAATATAGATTTCAACAACTAACGAGAAATATAAATGATTTTTTTGTGAAAAAATATTCAGATAAACAGTTTAGCTTCTTTGTAATTATACTATTAATGACTGAAAATTTTTTTTATTAATTTTAGATTGTAAAAGTATTAAACTATCAACAAGATATTAACAATGCACAATCACAACAGAATTGGACTTGATAATGATGTAATTTATTGAGAAAAAGAAAAAGCATAAAATATAATATTTGTTGTTTTTTTGATTATTTTAGTCTGAAACAATTACGTCGAATGTAGCTCGACCAAAAAAATTGTATGTATGTTATGAATTGTAGACAATAATAAAAAAGAGTTATTATTCTAGATGTGAATATCTGAAAAGAAAAAAAGTGATGTGCATTATAGTTATTATTATTGTACTTGTTATAATTATAACAATTTCGATTGTTATCGTCAAAACAAAAAAGAGAAACAGCGAAAAAGTATCAACAACAGAAGAAATGGAAGTAACAACAGGTAGTTAAAATGAGATAATCATTTATTTTGAAGTTAATATACGATAAATTATTTCAAATGACCGAAGTAGAACTTCATTGTTTATCATAACTAGGGATGTACCCAGCCCGAGAGTCTCAGGCTTGGCCAGGCTCGGAGTTCGGTCAGGCTCGGGACTCGATCAGGCTCGGGCTCAGGTGTCAGATTTGATGTGGGAGTGGGTGGGTGTGGGTGAAAGTGTAAGTGAAAATGTGAGTGAAAATAGTGAGTGAGGGTAAAAAGGATAGTTCCCGCACTCACCACACCCACACTCTCACCCAAGCCCCCCACTGCCACATCAATTCTAACACTCGAACCATGACCGAGTCCCAGGGCTACCGAACCCCGAACCGAAACCCGAGAGTAGAGATCGGTATCGGTCCCAAAAAAAGTTTTTATAACCGATGCCGATCTCTAGTTTAGAGGCTTATTTTTGGAATTCTACTTTGAAAATATTCTAGTAAATGAGATATCTGTGGGACTTGAAACGGCCCTATTCAGACTAAAAAATCAATACTAGCGAGTATTGCAAAAGTAACAAAAACTAATAGATAGAATTATTCGATGAAATAAAATTGACATTGACGTGTTTCAAAAAGAATTTGGTCGATATTGTATATAAATTTACAGCGCATTGTCCAAGATCTTAGACAATAAATAAGAAATGAAGCTATTCTGGCAGCTCTGATTACGACCCAATGATGTCATCTTGAAGTGTTTCTCTGCACCACAAAGAATCTTTTAACAGTATAACTAGCTACACTACAATAATCAATAGTTTTGAAAAGCAAGCGATGAACTAGACCAACGTGAATTCTTTCCATTTTATAATAGTTATACATAAGCTGTAAAGTGTGATTGTTGAATTAGGATATGTTTCTGGCCGAAATGTCATCTTGAATGAAAATGAAATATTTCAAGAACAGTAGCAGTATGCAAATGTTATATAAGTTAATTTCTACAGTTCTGCAAATGTTTCATTATTAAACTTATAAGAAATGTAAAATGAGTTGTCAAACTTATTATAGTAGAGATGTAATTAAAGTAAAGATCCTACAATTAGAATTATATTGTAAAGCATTTAAGGATTTGCTATTTTATTATAATGCACTCATGTTTACGGTCGATAGATTGTTCGAGAAAAAGAAGAAGAAGAAGATGAAAGAAATTAGGAATAAAGCCTTATCTAATCATTTAGTCTCTTTCTAAGCTCATTTGTGAAATTTAGAACGAACTACTACGTCAACTTCAACAACAACGTTACCAACAACATCAACAACAACAAAGCCAAGTTAGTAATATGTTGAACGATTTGTAATAGCCCAAGGGGGAAAGAGCGGAATGCGATCGTTTGGATTCCAATAGATTCCCATGGATTCTCTCGAATTTCCATCCCACAAAATCTGATAAAAATCTTTCAATTCTGCCTTATTTCATTGCTATTTTAGATCTGTCAGCCTGCATTAAATATTCTAGAACATGAGATAGATTTTAACTAAACTGTCCAAGTTATCAAAAATAGGGGTATACATAGTTCAGAACGGTTCGCTATTTTAGGTGACTCAACTCGCCGAACTGAACTTTTCCATCAGTTCACTTTCTACAAACCGAACTGTATAAACAGCTCATTTGAAGAAAATGAACTTATCGATCAATTCAAATAACATGAATTCTATGAACAACTCATTTTAGCGAATATCTAAAGGTACATATTCCTCTTCTACCATGCAGGAGTATCCTTGAGTTTCCATAAGATGCCGAGGGCCCTAGAACTGACCAATCAGATATCAAGAGTCCAAAAACTTACGACTCTCGGTATCTGATTGTTCAATTTGAGCGTCCTTAATTTCTGATTGATCGATCTTAGGATTCTTGATTTGATTGGTTGGTTCTAGAGTTCTCGGTGTCTTATAAGGACTCAAGGGTATCTCCCTAGTATAGCATATGAGGACTCGAGGATACTCCTGCATGGCAGAAAAGGAATATGCAACTTTCGGCGTTCGCTGAAATGAGTTGTTCATAGAATTCATGTTTTTCGAATTGATCGATCAGTTCATTTTTTTAAATGAGCTGTTTATACCGTTCGTTGAAAAGAACTATTTTCAAAACTCAGTTCACGTCAACTGAACTGTTTTAATAAGTTCAGTTCGTTCAAGTGAACTGTGTGTACCTCTAGTCTTTAGAGATTTTATCAAATAATTCCACAATCGTTAATTTTTTAGAGCAATATCTCGTAAATTTCTAGAAATTTTAAATATCTTAATGAACATCGAGGGTTTTCATGTTTCATTTACGATTTTTGAATTCCCAAAACGTCCGAAGGATTTCCAAGCATTCCAAAAACAATTTTGGATTCCATGATTCCGCTCTTTCCCTTTTGTAATAACCTAAACGATAAGTATCACAACTATTCAAATATAAAAGTTTTGGTTTTTGGGTGTCTGATGTTCTCCATCTAGATAAAAAACATTAGATAACTTTGTATAAGAGCTGCAAACAAGTTCAGTTTTTCATGAGATGATTCCATCTGTGCTTAGTCGAATATTGAATATGCCTAGTCGATTGTGATGATATTATACGAACATGTTATCGATAAAAAGATTCATACATAATCGAACTCAGTGACTACTTTGATAACTGCTCGTTACAGCGGAAAAGGTAGATAATGGTAGATACTATGACTAAATAAAGTCAGATAACGTCATTGCCTGTAAATATAGTATAGAAGATAATTGGAAATATCCGTGAGTACTATCATGAATCAACCAGATTATGTAAGAAATGTAATATTTATTGAATAATTTTTGAAGACTTATGTCCACTGCTATTTGTAGCTATCACTATTTCTCGTAGTACACTATCAGCACGAGTCTATTACAAATATCATCTCTATTAATTGTTCACATTATAATTTAGACAAACTCGCATACTAAACATTTCTAGCTGATCATAGTTACTTATTTGAGAACAGAAGTGAATCCAAGAAAAGTCCTCTTTTATAACTGAAACAGTAGATTTTAATCTATATTTAATCATTATATGGTCAGTTTTAATCTGATTTATCAGTATGATTATACACGTAGAAGTATCAGTAGATATGAACACCTAATCTCATGTTACAGGTAGCATTTATATAGAATCGACGTGTTCAAAAGAAATTGTAGTTGGATAAAATACTAACTTAATACTTGAGAAACACATCTTTCATAAATATTGATTTTTTCATGAGAATAATGTGAGCATTATATTCTTTTCATGCACAGTGACATTAATTACAGTGACGAAGCCAAGATTTTGAGCTAGGAACGGGAGAGAGCTCAGCCCTCGGAACCGTTTCGGTCCATCTTAGGAAGTATAATTTATCTACGCAACCAGTGCAAACTTTTTTTTCGCTTTTCCACACTTGGTTGGATGGAGCTCGTCGAGTTGAGTAAGTATTGGTCAGTTTTTATATTTTTTCCAAAGTGCTGAAAGATTCGTTTTCTTGAAAAAAAATATTGAAAAAACTCATCTTTTAATGTTTTTTTCAATTTTAGAGAGCTTTGACGTTTCTTCGGACTATGAGAATAATATATTTAGATTTATTGTGAAAAACTGCATTGATCTGACCTTTTTTTGGTTATTCCTTAGTGAAAATATGCTTGTAAAATGAAGGGATTCTAGAGTGAAAAAAACTTTAAAAGATGAATTTTTTCTAATATTTTTTTCAAGAAAATAGATCTTTCAGAACTTTGGGAAAAAATGTAAAAACTGATATATTCTTACTCACCTCGACGAGCTCTAATCCAACCGAGGGTGCAAAAGCGAAAAAAACTTTTAGTATAATTCTGCATTGTTTGCACGTTACGTTATCGAATGAGTGAAATATGAAACTGAAAAATCTCTAGAATCTAGCTGAAACTCATATTAAATGTGTTTTTATTTGTTTAAAAAGTACATATGATTTCCACACAATAAGCTATATCTCATAGAATATTCCACTACAAAGAATAATAAGATTTTGTATCAGGAAAACATATTTTTCAAAATCTTGTTAGGGAAGGGGGCTGAGCGCTGTCCTCACCCTTCCCCTTGGCTCCGCTACTGATTTCATTTACGATTTAACTTCAACAAAAAACAAACTCAAAGTTTCATCGAAAACTAATCTTTTCTTTTTTTTTCGTCGATAAAAAACAATTTTCTTCTTTTCATCAAAACCTTTTGTTTTCATTCTTTTCTAGAACCGAAATTCAACAAATGGAAACGAAATGCCAGCACTGTGGCTGGTGGAAATAAAGATGGAGGGGAATTAAATCAACTCTATGCTCCTGTTGGATTCTCTATTGATAAAAATAAAAATATTTTCATTGCTGATACTTATAATCATCGTATTGTTGAATGGAAATATACTGCGAAGGAAGGACAAATCATTGCAGGTGGAAATGATCAAGGAGATCGAATGGATCAATTGAATGAGCCAACAGATGTGATTGTTGATCAACAAGATCATTCGATCATCATTGCTGATCGTGGGAACAGACGAGTGATTCAATGGATCAATCAAACTCAACAAATTCTCATTGACAATATTCGCTGTCGTGGCTTGGCAATGAATAAACATAGATTTCTTTATGTTTCTGATCATGAGAAGGATGAAGTGAGACGATGGAAAATGGGAGAATATAACAATGAAGGAATTGTAGTGGCAGGTGGAAATGGACAAGGAGATCAACTCAATCAACTCAGTTCTCCTAGTCATATCTTTGTTGATGACGATCAATCGGTTTATGTATCAGATGTGAACAATCATCGTGTAATGAAATGGAGAAAAGATGCAAAAGAAGGAAGAATTGTGGCTGGAGGAAATGATAATGGAGGAAATCTCAATCAACTGTTTTTTCCTCATGGAGTAATTGTTGATGATTTCGGTCAAATCTATGTGGCAGATTATCTGAATTTTCGAGTAATGCGTTGGTATGAAGGAAACGAAGAAGGTGAGATTGTTGTTGGTGGAAATGGTTATGGAGGCAATTCAAATCAATTGAATCGTCCCACTGGTTTATCTTTTGATGATGAAGGAAATCTTTATGTTGCTGATATGGGAAATCATCGAATTCAAAAATTTGAAATAATTTTGTGAATGAATTTTTGATTTTGAAAAGAAAATTTTAAAGAATAAATAATCAAGAAATAAAAGGAAAAATAAAGTTTTACAATTGAAAATCAATGAAAAAATCGATCAAAACTGGAAAAAAAAGAAATGCTTTATGAAAAATTGGGAATAAAAATTTGAAAACAGAAACAAGAAATACGAAAGAAAAATAAATAAGAGATTGAAATAATATATAATTCAACTTTGATTGTTATTTTCAAAGATTTCTGATGAAATAAAAATATTTTTATCTAATTTCTTCCAATGAAACTTGCAAAAAAGATGTTTTTTTATTTTTTCAAGAAATTAACATAAGTATTTAAGACTTTCTTTATCAAATGTAATTCAATTTTCTCCTTCCTCATAAAAACAATCAAATTATTTCTTATAGTTTTGAATCAGCAAAGTTGTTTATGAAAAATTTTCAAATTTCATGAAGAGAAAAAGAATTTGAAGGTGTGACTTTTACTTTTTTGATTCATATTAACAATTCAAAGTCGAATTTATTAAGAAAATTTTCTAATTAGAATAGTTGAAGAAATGACTCAAAAATAAAATAAAACTTATTCATGTGATGTGAAACTTTAATTTTTGAAAATAGATCCATAAAACATAAGTAATGTTAATAGCACATTTTTGCATCGAGTGGGGTCACCCGAGAGGGAGACATCGAGTAAGAATGGGTAGTTTTATTCAAAATACTGGCTAAATGTGGATATGGATCATTCAAAGGTCAATGCCCACACTCTTGTTCAAAATAAGGACATGAAAAGATCTTTTTTCTTAAGTAGGAAAATCCATGAATAATAATCATATCGAATTTAAACTGATATGATATATATTCATGTTCAACATTTTCTTCCGTCAATCATTCAGAATTAATATCATTAGATACAAAACAAACTCTGACATAATATTGTTCAATATTATTAAATGTATTTATCACGAAACAAATAGAAAACTTAGAGATTAGTTTCATTTTACATGTACTTATTCATCTAAACTCAAAAGCTATTAGATAGAGATAGTTTAAATTTACATATGAATAATTTCTCTAATAAATCAAGCTTTATATTTATATAGAAGTATCTTTACCTGCAACAGTATTTTCTCATTATATGTTTATTATTAAATATTTCATTTAGAAAATCATTCAACAAACGAAATATGTAAAGCAAAAGAATACGTTCAGATGTAATTATAAATAGAAATTAGTTGAAGGTAATCAAAACTAGACGTTAACATAATTAAGGTGTATACTGTTTCATGTGCTTTTATAATGAGAATCATATTAATGAATCAACATACCAACACGGAGAGTGCTGGTAACCATATTTCTTCAGTTTCTTATTATTTTTCATAACATAGAACAATTAGAATATGTTAAAATTGGATAGATTCTGATGAATTCTTGTTGAGTTTTTGTGATATTCAAATGTGAATTGTGTTTTATTTTTTCTCATTTCATGATCAGTATCGTATTACATGTTAAAAGATAACTTTTTAAATTGTGTTTTTGCAATCAATCGTAGCTATTTTTTAAAGGTCTTCTTCATCTTCTTTGTTATAAATGAAATGTAATAAATACCTCTCATAACGTGGAGAAAGAATCCAAACATAGAGTCATTCTCCCTAATAACGACGCAAAATAAATACATCATCTTGTTTTAGTTGTCGTTCATCTATTTCAACTCCGATCTCTAATAATTATATATTTGGGGAATATTTCGATGACACGCTTTCTAATGGTGTATTTTTCATTCAATTTCTTTCATGTTTTCATAGAGATATCAGCGGTATAAAATGAAGTAGGCTGCCCGTCGTTATTAGGGAGAATGACTCTAATGCAAAAGAAGGACAAATTATTGCAGGTGGAAATGGCAAAGGAAATCGAATGGGTCAATTGGATTTGACAACGGATGTTATTTTCGATCAACAAAATCATTCGAGCATCATTGCTGACGAAGGGAACAGACGACTGATTCAATGAATGAATTAAAATCAACAGATTCTCCTTAACAATATTGACTGTTTGGGTTTGGCAATAAATCAAAATGGATTTCTTTACGTGTCTGATGTTGAGAAGAATAAAGTGAGACAATGGAAAAGGGAATCAACTCAATTATCCTACTTTTATCTTTGTTGATGAAGATCAATCTGTTTATGTATCAGATCACAATAATCATCGTGTGATGAAATAGAGAAAAGATGCAAAAGAAGGAAGAATTGTGGCTGGAAAAAATGGTAGAGGTAAAGATCCGAATCAATTGTCTGAACCTCAAGGAATAATTGTTGATGATTTGGGTCAAATTTATGTGGCAGATAGTGGGAATAATCGGGTAATGCGTTGGTGTGAAAGAAAAGAGGAAGGTGAAATTATTGTTGGTGGAAATGGTCAAAGAAATCAACCGAATCAATTGAATGAACCCATGGGTTTATCTTTTGATGATGAAGGAAATCTTTATGTTGCTGATTTTGGAAATGACCGAGCTCAAAAATTTGAAATAGATTTGTGAATGAAATTTTAATTTTAAAACAAAAAAAATTTTTTATTAAATAAAAAATTGAGAAATAAAAATAAAATGAAAGATAAAGCTTCATTATTGAAAATCAATGAAGAAATCAAATAAATTTTGAAGAAAAAGAAATATTTTGATAAGAAAACAATGAAGAATTTTTTTGTTTTTTCCATCGAAGTTGAATTAAATTTGATACTTTTGGTTGAGAAATTCGAATAAATAAATCATCTTTTTATTGATTTTTGTCGAAATTACAGAAGGGGTGGGTGTGGGCGTCAACGATATAGAAGACGATGCACCCACACCCTCTGGTCTGAAGTGTGATGTTGACTATATATATTTTATTTAAAAAATCGCACACCTTTCTGAATATTCCTCGTCCCTTATATAATACTTGGCACATTCAGTATCCTGCTACAGTAAAATATCACACCATATAGTAAAATGCCACATCATATAGGTAATGCCACATCATAAGATAATGGCCTATTAAATGAGAAATATCACATCATAAAAAACGGCATATTAAATAGGAAGTGCCATTTAATAAGAAAATGCCACTGTCTACATGTAATGCCATCATTCAGTGTACAGATGAAAGGCATTCGATCAAAGTGCATACTACCCAAGTAAACAAGCGCTGGGTGTGGATGTGGTTGAGATGAATTTATTTTATGCACACCCACACCCCAACACTTTATGATCGTCACACTGTGTACTACAAGCAGGGGAACATGTAGATACCCATAAAAATGCATTATCCAAAAATTTGGTTTCTATCAGTACACGTCACTTCTCTCAATTCACCGGTCCTTCTCCCCTTCGGTAGTCTGATCAAATGAGGCGCACATTTGAATTCCACACATCGAAATACCTCTAGAAATGTCTTTTCCTGAGAACTGGTCTTCGATGTTTTTTTGACCCGGCGGATACACAAGCAAGCAGACGGTTTATTCTTACTGGACTCTTCTCTATGAGAAAGAGAATAAATTAGTAAGTAATCCCTTGAACAGAAGCAATAAAGAGTGTTCCGAAAATTTTCTGTATTATCTAAATAACTTAGATCTCAAAGGATTAAGTATTACAATTATACTTACAACAATAATATTATTTCGATAACCAGTTGATTTAACTGATGCAATAAGTTTAATTTCCAATTCGTTTATATTCCAGCCATGTAGCTGCTTTCGCGCCACTATTTGTTTGATTTTCTTATTTGAAACTGTATACTGTTCAAGAGCATCTCTTAATGTAACCGTTTTACCAGCCATTTTTGCCTTTGCAGATGGAATAACAGCAGCGCGCCACCAATGTTCACAAATGTAAGGTGGTAGATCAATGGAAAAATTGAACTCAGTCACAATACCAGATTTTGCTACAGTATGAGTATGCGATTCACCATACTCATCTTTATAAGTTTTCGTCTCTGTATAAACCTATAAACAGAAAAGATATACATAACAGAAATTATCTAGATTTAGCGAAATATTTATTCCGACGCATTTGTTGAAACTGGAAGTACCTCTGTAGGTGTGGGTGTTGATAAGGAATAAAAGAATGTTCATCCCCACACCCCACACCTTAAGAAAATTCTTTGATATTTCCTTTCTAGATCCTTCATATATTTCCGAAGAATCCTGTAGGAAATTACTGTTTCTCCTGAGAATATGGTGAAATTATGAAGAAATATGTACTCACAGAAGCTCAAGATTCTGACGGTATTCAACTATGATACCTATAGATTTATCATCATTCCTGAATTAAGAACTGTTCAGAAAATCAATAAATCTCGAAAGAGCCGTGTAGCCATGAAATTTGAAAATCCTGCTCGGATTAACAATTGAACTTAGTCAAGATCGTAAACAGTTTAATAGTGGATTTAAAATCAAGAATTTGATCAAGAAATCTCAAATTCTGAAATAAATCTATATCCATAAAATTTTCAAGATTTGTGCAGAACTCAAACAAAATTTTAGAATGATCTTGGCTGGATTTTAATGATTCCAACGAAAAAATTCTGATTATATCTTCCAGAATCTTAGTGAGTTTCATCTAGGATATTATCTGATTTCTTGACGGAATGTTTACAGGAATATTTAAAGAAAACAGAAACTAGATGAATACTTAGAGTATTGACCTGTAGACCTTCAGTTTACTTACTGGTCAGCATACCCGATTGGATATCCCATGTTAATAAATAGATTTAATTTTCAGCATTTTTATTTCTGTCTAAAGTCTTAACTTAAATTTTTATTTTTTTATCAACGTAATTATTTTCAGAAAAAATGTCGAAAGAAAATATTCTATTTAAATTATTTTTGGTGTGGCAAATGTCACTAATTCCTCTCTGGTGGCCCGCTAATCATATCAAGGACATTTGCGATGCATTAAAAGTAGATGACAAACAAGATGTCAGGCAAGTCAATCGGGATTCAATTTCTATAAGCTTCGTTACGACGAATGAAACGGTGTCTAGTGAAAACCTGAATCAACTGGAGCCAAGTTACATGTACACACAAATATTTAAGGAAATTCTCCTTGAAATGGAGCATGATCAAGAACAAGCCATCAAGAACTTAGTTGTGTATTGCTACAAATTCTATTCTGACAATAAGGCAGAATTAAATATTATTAGTGAATTTCAAGATGATTATCGTCAAGAACAAGCAATTTGGTGGTATACACAAGAGTCTTTTGTGTACCATATGCTCAATCGAGCACTTCGAACATTGGATGTCGATACAATCATTAATATGGGATTTTTTATTCGTGATCTTCACCAACAACTTCATCAACTACATGAACAACAATTCCCAAATTATCATGGTAGGCCTTTTATAGTTTATCGAGGACAGGCTTTGTTGAAAACTGATTTCGACAAACTCAGAAAAACAAAAGATGGTCTCCTGTCTTTTAATAGCTTTTTATCAACCAGTGCACAACCAGATCTCCCTCTTGTTTATGCCGAGAGTTCTTCAGGAAATGTCGATAAAGTGGGAATATTTTTTATAATGACTATTGATCCTCGTGTCTCATCAACACCATTCGCCTCTATTAAGGAGGCTAGTTATTACAGTGACGAAGACGAAATACTCTTCTCCATGCACACCGTATTTCGAATAGGTACAATTAAACAAATGGACAATAACGATCAACTTTATCAAGTAGAACTTCAGCTAACTGCTGATAATGATGAACAACTTCAACGATTGACTAAATATATAAGCAAAGAGGTTGGAGGCGACACAGGATGGGAACGATTGGGTAGCTTATCACTCAAAATAGGTCATTTCGATAAGGCTGAAGAACTATATAAAGTACTACTCGTGCAAACATTGAATGAAGATGACAGAGCACTTTATTATAATCAGCTTGGATCTGTCAAACACGGACAAGGCGATTATGAACAAGCTATTAAATATTTCAAACAAGGACTTGAGATCGCCGAAGAAACTCTTTCTGCAAATCGTCCTTCATTGGCTGTTTCCTACAATAACATTGGTGAGATGTATAGAGAAATGGGAGAGTACTCGAAAGCACTTTCATTTCACGAAAAAGTACTTGGAATCGAAGAAAAAACTCTTTCTGCTAATCATCCCTCATTAGCTACTTCCTACAATAACATTGCTAGTGTCTATAATAACATGGGAGAGTACTCGAAAGCCCTTTCATGTTATGAAAAAGCACTTGGAATTCTAAAACTAACTCTTCCTGCAAACCATCGTTCGTTAGCTACTTCCTACAGTAACATTGGTAGTGTGTATAATAACATGGGAGGGTACTCGAAAGCGCTTTCATTTCACTAGAAATCACTCGAAATGAAAGAAAAAACTCTCCCTGTCAATCATCCTGACTTGGCCAGTTCATACAGCAACATTGGTTTCATGTATAAACAGATGAGAGACTACTCGAAAGCACTTTCATTTTACAAGAAAGCACTCGGAATTCAAGAAAAAACTCTTTCTGTAAATCATCCTGACTTGGCTATTTCCTACAACAACATTGGTGGTGTGTATAAGAACATGGGAGAGTACTCAAAAGCACTTTCATTTTACGAAAAAGCACTTGGAATACAAGAAAAAACTCTTCCTGCCAATCATCCTAACTTGGCTACTTCTTACAACAATATTGGTAGTGTGTATAATAACATGGGGGAGTACTTGAAAGCACTTTCATTCTACGAAAAAGCACTTGGAATTCAAGAAAAAACTCTTCCTGCCAATCATCCTAACTTGGCTACTTCTTACAACAACATTGGTAGTGTGTATGATAGCATGGGAGAGTACTCGAAAGCACTTTCATTTTACGAAAAATCTCTAGGAATTCGAGAAAAAACTCTTCCTGCTGATCATCCTGACTTGGTTCAATCGTACAACAACCTCGGTTTTCTATATGAGAACATGAAAGAATATTCAAAATCTCTCTCATATTTTGAACGTGCTCTTGACATTCTCAAAGTTTCATTACCACCAAATCATCCGCACCTTAAAGATGTGAAACAGAGCATTAAAATTGTAAAAGAGGAATTATAATTGTTGTTCTGAATAAATAAATGTTTTCTTCATACGAGAGAGAAACAAGTGTACTTTTTTTTTACTTACTCGCGCGCTTACAGAGAACATCTCTGTAAGTAATCCAAACGCAGTGGACATAGCCGACCGATAAGACAATGCACATACATATTATGTACATGAGTGAAAGGTCTTCACGAACATATTTATGTTTTTAACATTAAATACGAGAATATTCTCTATAAGTTAACAAAAATAAATATAACACCAAAAATCGTCGATTATCATTGTAATAAACATGTTGAAAATGAATCGAAAAAAAAGTCGAAATAAAATAAGAAAAGAACAACTTACTTTGTTTAACTTATTTTTATTATTGTATTGTATTGAACAAAGCCTTGGATGATGAAGAATAGTATATGAGCTACTCCATGCAAGCCACGACCGAAAGACACATAACTTGCTCAGTCGAGGTCGTCTGATTTTATTCATTCTAAGATATGCTGTAGAGGGAAGAAGCTTAAGTTTTTTTGGCGCTAGCCTCTTCTAAAAATATTGAATCCTCACTATTTTATTAGCATTTTACGAAATACCCTATATATGACAAAATTGACAAACAAGGATCCAAATCTGACAATTTTTCAAGAACGACTGAGCAGATTGAGGTGAAATTTTGTTCATACATATATCCTCATAAGACCTGCTCACCATAAAACTTTGTGTCCCAAAATTCGGAACAGTTCAGACTTTATGACTTGCTGAACATGTTGATTTTCGAAATGAATTTTCTCTCAAGATATCGTCTGATTTGGGAGCTGGTCTTTATATTTTGATAGTAGTTCCTCCGGGCTACAAACCCAAGAAAAAATTAGTCTGAGATCCCTGGGAATGCTCTGTAGCGGGGATCATCTTTCGGAAGGTCTCTCTATAATGTTCATATATCAGTGGCGGATTTAGGGGGGGGGGGCGATCGCCCCCATCGCCCCCCCTTTCGAATTTTTTTTTGATTTTTTACAGCAAAAATGAACGAAAAAATAGGTTCACACTACTTCGGTTGGACTCAAAAAATAGCTTTTAACCAAAATCGCCCCCCCCCCTCAAGTGTCGCCCCTCCATACTCAAAAAAAATCCCCCACCCCCTCCCCAGGTATTGCCCCTTCATACTCAAAAAAAACAAATTTCGCCCCCCCCCCCCTTCCAAAATCCTAGATCCGCCACTGTCATATATGATATGTACAATTTTTACCTTCAATTTTTATTTTTATTTTATGTAATAGCTTTAGATAATTTTGCTAGTAGAATACAATGTTCATACCCATTTTGCTTCATTCTAAGTTCTCCTTGATGAAATAAGAGGGAAAACAGTATTATATCATTGAACAGTGATGATATGAAATTATCTATTTTCTTTGAATGACATAAAATACAGGTAAGTGTTATTATTTGCATTCTATATTTCCTATGTTTGATTGTTAATTATGAGATATTTTCAGTTTACTATTGTTGTATATTTATTTTATCTTTTCTTTTGATTCTTACATGACAGTGTGAGAAGCTGAGTACTGGTATATACTCTGATAAAGATCCACATCCCCAAGATTTTCTGTAGATCTTTACTCTCGTATTATAATTGCAAAAACTTGTTAAATTCAATTTCAAAATCTCTTATTGAATATTGTTTATAGGTATGATGATTATTTTTAATTTCTATTCAAAAATAAAATCTCATTCTTATGTATGAGAAAGAAAAGATAACAAATAATAGTGAAATGTAAATATAAAGTATCACAAAAGTATGCATGTATTTGATGTTACGGAATAATCATTGATTATTTTAAGATTATTAACTTTTACGTTAGCTAATTGTATTCCTTTTATTTGTTGTCGATCATGTTCCGTAGTTTTTTCATGTGTATCATCGAGATTATGTTCTTGCTTGATAGGAGAATTTACAAATTAGATGAAGTGTGAGGGTGTGGGTGTTGATATCGTTTCTCACCTATTCCACCCACAGCCACAGCCACACCCACACTCACATCCTCAGTTTAACTCTAAACAAGTATTTTTATGTTTGTTGCAAAGATTAATTCATTTTTTCTCTCCACTGAATAATCAATCCATAATATTGGAATCCTTAATGTTGGATTTGCTCGGATCCTACTATTAGTATACAATGAAATCCTAGAAGATGATATGATCGATCTTTAGTATCACGAAAAATGGTAAGTCGTAGCGAGATAAGAAAATGAAGTTTGTCCATCATATTTATTAGCAATTCCTCAATCCTGATCCAATAGGTTTTTGTCGATTGTACAGAACCGATAAGATCCGACGTTGGATTTTTATATGTAGGCTCTAAATCACTAACAATTAATAACATTTCAATGAGCATCTATCGCACTGCATTTTGTTTAGCTTTTCATTATAATTTCAACCGCAATCTCACCTACAAGATAACTGAGGGAGTTCGTAGTCGAGCGTTAGTTGTGTAAAAATGATTCTGTGTTATCTTCTGCTAAACGAATGTTCTATTATTTCGTTCTGTCAAAGATAAGAGATGGAGAAGAATTCATCTCATTACAGAAATATTACTACACGTAAAAGTGACCACGGTAGAAAAAATATGGATGTAACAGAAGTGTATGTTACTTCGAAGACAACAGAAAATACTATAAAAACAGCAGCAATTGATCTTTACACTGTGGAATCTTTGGTTTTCGTTTGGCTCGTCACTAATGTTGAAAACATGACTGATATTACCAAAATACGTGGTATCGTTAAGTATTTGAAAGTATTAAATGATTTACATGCGTGCATAGATTATATCATCAATAGTCGACAGGAAAAAGCCGTTGTTATTGTCTCCAGCTCGGTAAACGAACAAATCATTCCTGTCATCGATCGAATAGACCAAATAGATAAAGTTGATTCAATTTATATTTATTCTCCAAACGAAGTCGAATGCACTGCGCTAAGCAGACAATTTTATCGTAAAGTTCGCGCTGTCTTTATCGATATTGACTCGATCTGCAAAGAGTTAAACAAACTTATTCGTCGATATGCAAATAATCTGACATCGATCTCATCGATTCCATTTTCATCTCAAGTCACAAACAGCATGAAGAACGACCAAATGTCATTGATATATTCTCAATTGATTCGAGATTTATTTCTTGTCTTAGAATATCCAGTAGAGCAACCAGAACATGCCATTCGCGAAATGATCCAATATTTTACTTTTCAGTTTGAAGGTTACGATCGTAATAAAGCTTTGTTCGACAAAATGGAGCGCGATTATTATCCAGTACTATCAGGAGAAGTCAATACTGTTCCACAATATAAATCTATCTGGTGGTACACTCGATGTTCGTTCATCTTCGAAAACCTTAATAAAGCCTTAAGAATACAAGACATTGACATGCTATTCAAAATGCGTTTTTTTATCGTTGATCTTCACAAACAACTGCAAGACTTACATTCATCTGCGCCACCTCTTTCAGCACCGTTAACCGTGTACCGCGGTCAGTCGATGTCAAGTGAAGAGTTTGAGAAACACAAATCGAATATTGGTGGTCTTATGTCCATGAATAATTTCTTGTCGACTAGCACAGATAAAACTGTAGCCGAAATGTTTGTAAATGCTAGTACGAATGAACCGGGTATGAAACATATTTTATTCGAAATTGAAATTGATTCGAAAATAAAGAAACAATGTCCCTTTGCTAACATCGAACATGTGAGCTACTTTGAAAATGAATGCGAAGTTCTTATTTCTATAGGCAGTGTATTTCGTATTCGTTCGATGGAAAAAGACAACAATAGTATCTGGAATGTGCGTCTCACATTGACGGATGAAGAAGACAAACAAGTAAAAGCGTTAGCCGATGGTATTTGGGAGAAAATAGAATCGGACAATACTTTATTATGTCTAGCTAAATTGATGCGTCTGATGGGAAACTACGAGAAAGCAGAGATGTTTATTGATGAACTAATGAGTGGAACAATTTTTTGTTGGCATTTGAAGAACTTGGCTCTAGTAATAAATGAAATTGGACTAATTTATGAAGAAAAAGGTGATTTCTCAACAGCGATATTATATTATCAAAAATTCATTGAAATGAAACAGAAGAGACAGTTTACTTGGTCAAGTTATCTGTCTTTGTCATCAGATGTATCAACAAAGACTATCCTAAATTACTTACAGGATAAGAAAAATAACAGCAATCAAGAATTGAACACATTGAAAAAATCATTCGAAAATGAACGAAACCAAGACCATCCAGATCGACAAAAGTTGTCCATTTTATGCCAACAAATGGCTGAAATCTATAAAGAACAAGACAATGATATCGATGCACTCAGAATGTACGAGGAATATGTAGAATTGCTCACATCCAGCAACCAATTGACTCTGCAAACTTCTTCAACTATTGCTCTTCTGTACGCTAAACTAGGCAATATACAAGCATCAGAAAAGTACATTGAACAGACGCTCAAAGAACGAATTGATTTTCGACCTCATTGTAAAGATACTGCTGCGAGTTACGAGAAAATCGCCTTCATCTACGAAATCCAAGGAAGATGCATTGATGCCATCGACATGTATGAGACAGTCTTATCCTGTTCAACGGACGAAAATCTCACTTGGAATATTGTTCTCCGAAATATCGGTCACGTATATGAGAAGCAAAGCAACTACCCGGCTTCATTACAAACGTACGAACGTTTACTAAATATTCAATTAGATAGACTTTATCCAGATCATCCATTCGTGGCAGATACATATACATCAATGGCACATATACTTGATAGTCAGCATAAATATGAAAAAGCTTACACGAATCTGGTAAAAGGACTCAGAATTGACCTCATTACGATGAGTCCAAATCACCCATGGATTAATAAAAAGCATGCTGAGATCGACTTAATTCGGCAAAAGATTGTAGTGAAATCAATTTCTTTAGAGTATTTCGATGACAAACTTTTCAATTAATGTCATCTGTATCAAATAGGCCTTCAGA